TCGCTCATGCTGGGCCTTCGTTATGGAATACTCTCCCTCAATGGATTAAAAATAGCAGTTCTGCTGAAGTGTTAAAAAGCAATCTTAAGAAATATATGTTTAATTTAGCTTATAATTGATTACCATAACCTTTCATGTATGTACCTTTCCTATTGCACTTTGTATTAATGTATCATGTATGTATTTCATCTATTGCACAAGCTGCGCCTTGAGCATTTGACTGTCAAGTGGATTTGGCGCCTTATAAATCTTATGTATTATTATTATTATTATTATTATTATTATTATTATTATTATTATCTCTGAAATGTTATTTCCTCATCAAAATATCAACAATGATATATTATGACATCTTGAGGTTTTTCATACCTGAAGTTGACGTTATTCCAAAATATATTATTCTCTCGCGGCACACCAGTTGCATGGATGAGTGAGGTAATTGACCAATCCTTTTAACGTGGAAAATAATTTTAAATGAAACGGACTCTGTCTCTGTCCCCATATTTTGATATTCCTCTCTGCTGTACACTACACTAAGTTCACGGAATGGATCATCCTAAAGCATTTTTGTCTAATAATCAAATTTCGATACAACTCTTACAACAGATTTATTTAAGATTTGCGGCGTTACTAAATCACACAATACTGGTTGGTGTTGCCAATTTCGCAACTTCCACAATCCAACTCCTTGTACGTGCGTTCTATGTAGCGCATTTAAGCCCTGCTATTAAAATTTCTCATTAAAATTCATGATTTGTGGGCACTTTTCGTCGATTAAGTTATCATGTGACGTCCCTAATTGCCAATTTCATTTTGGAGGAACCAATTTAAAATTGTGTTTATTCGAATTCATGGTTTATTCGCGCTTTTCGTCGAGCACTCATTCAATTAATCACGACAAAATTAATTTATCATTTGCCGTTTCTAATTTCAAATTTCCATTTGGAGGAACGAATTTATATTTTCTTTCATTAAAATAGGTCAACATTTGTTAGTACCTCCCTTAAATATAAATCAAAGTTTCGTTTGAAAATAAGTGTTTAAAGGTATATACCAGTTCTGGTCTCGCGATTGCATTGTAAAAAAACGTTGTGGAATCGATCAAAAAAGGTTGATCTTGTAGCATAATTGGTGTGTACCGCAAGGTCCTAGAATCATCAAATTGATATGAAATTTGGCCCAGTCTTGATAAAGATTCAACCACTGTACACAGAAAGATGTATATGGGACTACCATGTATCTATCCCATCCAGATAGATATAACAATTTATGAAATATATCAATTAGTAGGCGATTTCCCGGCAAAATTTGTATCGTCACGTATTATTCAAAACATATTCTCACATGATTGGTAATAAGAGCTTCCGTGTCATTCTTTGAAGTGGAGGCGTTTCCTAAACTGGCCTTTACCTTTAATATATGTATTGACTATTGCATGGATTTTGTTCAAGTTGGCTTAGATTTTAAAACTAAATGAATATTAATATAGGAATTCAGATAGAGGTCTTGAGCAAGTGGATTTCGTGTGGATGGGGATCATGCATAACACTTAGGCCTAACTGAACACACAAAAGATGTATTGCCCTGTAGGTGGCAAAACATGGGTCGGTCGGTCGGAAATCTAATTTAGTTATCTTTTTACTCCCTCTTCGGGCTGATATTTCTTAGTTTTTAATGCCTAAATACATTTTTGTCTTCATTTTGTTTAATAATTTTATGAAGCCGACCGTACATTTCACGATTTTGGGATCGGTCGCAAAGAGCAATCTAAATGTATGCCTTATGCTGATGAATAAAGCATTTTGCATTTATATTTAAATAAGTTTATAAGGAGAAAAAATACCCTTTTATTTTATTGAGTGACTTAGAAATGATTATCCAACTAACAATGGATTGACTACATTTAGATAATAAATCAGTAAACGAGGTTGTAAAAATGTGCCATGCATCCTGTAAACTAATGATGATCATGATTCCATCCTCCACTGTCGTTTCACCATGAGTACATTCCATCAACAAAAACGTTTTGTTTGTTTGTATGGGGGGGGGGGGGGGCATTTTTTAAGGCGTCTGCTCTAACGAAGCATTGAGTAGTGAATACTTTTGGAAACAAGTAATATATTGACATGGTCCCCGTTTAGACCTTCTTAAATGCGTCCAATATCGACAATGGAACGGAATAATTTAATCAAATTCATTTATTTTTGAGGGAGTTAAAATCGAAAAGAGGTAGGGAACAAAATAAACAACATCCATCTTAACTGAATGAATATCTTTCGAAGTTGAATGTCGATTCGTGAGTGCGAAGGCGGGAGATCAGTTTGAGGCAATTGGCCACGAATTTGAATGAATCTTAGCACACGCTAGACGGAATGAATTATAATTGAAGTGCTAAATCTCTTGTCCGAAACAAAACTTGAATAACTGAAGTTATATTTTGACTGGCAGTCTCAATCAGAAATGGGGCTTTTGCTAAACTCATTAAACGTTTCATCAAATGAACTATAATAAACAAATGCGAAATTGGCCTCTAAAGCCTATGGTTTATTCTTTGAAGACTATTTTTGAGCAATTTGTCTCATATTATTTCACGTTCTTTGTAAAAAAATTCCTTCCTCTCTCTCCTCGCTGTCCCTCTTTAAAATTCAACTGGAGGCATGCGCCCCAACCTGTATCAATGCCACTGACTATAATCATTGACCCGCCTTGCGAAAATTAGTTCGGAAAAAAGAAGGGGAAAAAAGGGGGGACGTCTAAAAAAAGAAAAACGCAAACATCGCGTTGAATCATTGGCGTCTGATTTCCTTCATAAGCGCGGATAGGTAATGCCTAGGTCACATTTGCCGCAGCGGCCTTGCGTTATGGACTATCTACCGCCAATATCAATTATAGGGCCGCCGCAGCATTAGCACGGTAACATAAGCTAGCGGTCACGTGTGTTAGGGTAGCCGCAGGGCGTATTTTGAATTTGCCGTGCGGCCTTTAAAATGATGATTCACGGTCGCCTTAATTCCCACGGCAGCCACAATTTTGCTTGGGTTCTGCAAAAGTCAATTTTAACTCATAAGACCCTAGGACAGCCGCATTGCAAACGCAAGGCCACCGTACGCCCGACGTAGGGTCGCCGTGGGAGTGGGAGTGTCGTCTCGTGGTCGAGTGGTTTAAGGCGCTTGACTGGAGATGCGAAGGTCGAGGGTTCGAATCCCGACACGGCACTAATATCCTTTGGCAAGATATTATCCTGCACTTGCTACTCTCCACCAAGGTGTCAAATGGGTACCCGGTAGGATGCGGCCGATGTTGATCAAACAGCTTATGAGCGTCAAGTAACGCCCGGCTGGAATGCTCCCCAGGGAGTGGAGATTGTGCACATAATGTGTGCGGGCAAGCACTGAATCCAATGACCGGGGTAATAGTATATTTGTAAAGCGCTTAGAGACATTTGTATTAAGCGCTATATACAAATTAAATATTATATTATTATTTTATTAACCTCTCTACGGATGGCTACTGCGTGTGTAATTGCTACGGCGAACCTAGAAGTGAAAAAGGGAAAAGGCATTCGCCCTAGGGTGACCCTGAGGCCACCGCAGATTCCCTTCGGTCGCTGCAAGTATCTCTCGATTTCGGGGGCGTACGGCCGCCGTATCCTAGCCGTAGAGCAAATATGACCTATGCATTAATGACTACGGGTTATGCCTGGATTACATTTGGCCTGCGATTAGTCTACGGAGCCAGTATCCTGCTCGTATCCCCTTTTCCGTGCGGCCTCTGTGCGGTGGCAGGAGGCGGCCGTGAGATTTTCGTACGGATTCACGGGCTCCGCAGCCTTTACGATTTTGTTTCGCGAGAAGCTAAACAAATTTGAAAAAAAAGCCCGTAGCCCGTATACATGTCGTAGGTGGCATTGCACAATCCCCGCACGGGCATCGTCAGGAGGACTTGCACTGATTGTGCAGCAAACGTACGATTTTTCGGTGAACATGGGGGCAAAGAAAATCGTACGGAGATTGTAGACTTATGTGGCATTCGCATGGCAATTGCACAGCTATCGAAAGGTTGCTGTACGGTCAGCGCGCCTTCTCCGCGCAACATTTGCACGGAAGCTGCACGGGCTTCGTATGATTTCCGTGCGGAGGCTGCGGAGACTGCACGGCTACTGCATGCAAATTGCACGATTTCAGTACAATCTACGAGCAGCCTCTGTACGGATTTGCCCCGGCCTGCCCCTGAGGGCCAATACAATAAATGGCACGATGCTCGTAGGTAATGTAAACACAAACATCGTAGCCCGTAGCCTCCTACGATGTCTACGAACAATCGTAGACTAATTATCGTACGGCGCCCGGAGCAAATGTAATCCAGGCATCATACGGCAACCACCTGCTCTTGGTCAACATACACAAACTCACTAGCTGTGGATAAGTCATTATTTATTCCAACAGACCAGTCCTTTCGAATGAATTCCCTGCCTCAATATGTTTTTCTTCCAAGAAGTATATTATTAAAAGTAAAGTAAGCGTGCATGTCGCTTTCCACAAAATCGATGTGAAAATCTAAACGTTTCATGTGACCACAATGTTTTTTATTTTGTAGATATGATGCGTATACTGATTGGAGTAACTGCCCTGTTGGTGAGCTTAAGCACCAGGCTAGAGGGGGGCAGGACAGAACAAACAACATCTGAGACGTCCACATGGTATTCATCTTTGTTACAGGAAGACTTCACTGACACGACTAACCTATCCGAAACATCTCCTTTCAAGTCTACCTCTCATCCTGGTAAGAGCTCCGATGGCAACATGTCAAATACAATCGAGTGGGGAGACTCTTTAGAGATGGAAACTGAATTCAACAATGTATCTGGTTATGACGAATCCTTCACAGAGAGCCTGAATGATGCAACAAAGGGTTCGATTCAATGGAGGTGGCGCCCCATAAAGTGGGCGTGGTGGCAATTTCTACAGATAACGTCTTCTGTACTTGGTGTCGTGGGCCAAATGCTCGTCATGCTGGTAATTTGGCAACGCAGGGCCATGAACCGTTCCACAGACACCCTCATCGCAGCTCTAGCGATGGCAGATTTCTTGACCTCTATTTTCATCCTACCCTTGCCGGTGGCAGTCAGTGTACCATCTTCGTTCCTTGGGGAGATTTATTGCCGACTCATTTACGACGGCTTTTTCATGTGGTGGGCGGTCGGAGTGTCGATCTACACACTAGCTTTAATCTCTGTAGAGCGTCTCATAGCCGTCATGTACCCTATCTACTTCAATCGCTACTTTACTAGAGGCAAAACATCTATAGCCGTTGTTGTTGTCTGGTTATGGGTGATACTCTTAACTCTAAACTTGATCTTGACCTGTACCGTAGATGGCGTAATTCATGCCTGCGCTTTGTCGTTCTCGCCAGCAGTCGGACAATTCCTGGGCATCAAGGTTTTCCTCACGTACTTCATCATCCCTGCTATTGTAATGATTCTTGCTCAGGCTGTTACCGCTGTCATTCTCCACCGAAAATCAACAAAGTTCATGGAAGGCAATGTACAGAAAAACCGATCCAACCCATCACACAACCTGCTGACTGCGAAGAATCGAGTCATAAAGATGCTATTCGTGGTTGTCTTGATTTTCATCATATGCTGGGGGCCGAACACCATTGCTTACTTTCTTTTCAATTTCGGGTTCATAAGCCGAAGTTTTGCCTTCAGCAACACAAATCGTATTCTCACGCTGCTTGCGTTTTACAACTCCTGTTTGAATCCGATTGTCTACACGGTTCGGCATCCCGGGTTCCGTGAAGCTATCCGAGGATTGTTCACCGGCTCTAAAATTCATGGAGGAGCATTATTCGAGTCCAAATCTGACCAAAAAGTTCTGCCCAGGGGGAAGAAAGACGCTGAAGATCAGATATAAAAAGTACACAAAACACTGAATCACATCGTTATTGATCTTACCCGCAGCATAATCGATCACAGTTGTCGCCCGCTCATTTCAATGAGAGACACGCAAACACATACACATACACACGCACGTGTACTCACCCACATACTCAATCATGTAATGATGGACGTATACAATGTATGCAACACAGGTCGATAGCTTAGCGAAATTTATTGGCACGAACAAATGCGTCCTGAACACAAAATGCATAATTGCTGGTGACATATGAGAGTAGTTAACTTCTTGAGAAAGAAACCCTATTTGTATAAACATGGATTTGTAACTTACTTTGTACGATCGTATATTCATCTGGCCAGTTTTGTCGGTCGCTTTGTATATAAGGTGTATGCTATATACACTTAGTCTGATTAATATTCTAGTACACGTATTTTTCGTCAGAATGGACGTCATCGTATACACCTCTAAATGTAAAAGGCTTTGCACATTAGTACATTATAAACATTTTATTGTATAGAATCGTTCTGGTATCAGACTTTGCCCCACCTCTACCCGCCTTTCACGATTCAGATATTAATTTGTTCCCGACTCATTTCATAAACTCAACTCACAAGTTAAACGTTTAACATCTGCGTCGGAAATTAATTCTGAAACTATTATGATTTGAAATACCAATAACCAATGCTTAATTCTTAAAACCGTGATTTGAAGTACAGCGTACAAATGATCACTATGGTCGCTTCATGCCCTTGTGCATGTTTTTTTGTTTCTTATTTCATCTATTTCTATAAACGTGATAATCACGTTTATAGAAATAGATGAAATAAGAAACAAAATTCTTGTAATTATGTATTTTCTTGAATATTATTGTAACGACAGTGGAAATCAAATTACTATGTAAATATTTGGCAAAGAATAAGCAAAAATATCTTGTATCTATATTGTATCTATTCAATGAACTTATCCTTCAATCATCTTTTCCCCTTTACAGTAACTTGTCCGTATGTTTATGTTCACAACATAACGACGACATAAGCATATTCTTCCGGGCTTTTGCCTCCTTCTGCTTTTGAATGTAGTTACCATACTGCTCAATTTGTTTGCTGCTAGCAATATTCAGTGACTATCTTGTGGGGGGGGGGGGCTGAGTGGCGCAAAAACGCAGAAGAGAGGGACGAAAAATATATAAAAACAAAAAGAATACAGGATGCGAACATATTATAAAGCTCTGTTGATTTCAAATTCAGTCGAATGTGTTGCTTCACGATTGTTAAATTCCCCCACCCCCTCGCCGATATAAACAATAAATAGCATTAGGAGAAAGTTTGGAATGGTTTGGTAAGAAATCTTACCTTTCTGTTACCTTGTTAAAATAATGGACCATATTCGTCCAGAAAGATCGTTAATTTGCGCCTCGGTTGAAAAAGATGAGAATCGAGAATCGAATACCGCCTATATTAATCATCCGCCACTCCACCGCCTGCTCATCATCATAGGAGTATAGGAAGAAATGACCCCGTAGATTTGTAGCGTTTCAAAAAAATGAATAAACAAAATGTCATTAATTATTCGGCATCGGGATGCCAAAACCATTCATTTTATGATGTAATCAAGTTAAAATATGTTGATTAATGTATTATTACAGTCTCTTTTTATGTAAAAGATTATATCATGTTTTGTGAAGTTTTGAAGGTTTTGTGTGGTTTTGTGTGGTATAGGAAGAAATGACCTCGTAGATTTGTAGCGTTTCAAAAAATGAATAAACAAAATTTCATTAATTATTCGGCATCGGGATGCCAAAACCATTCATTTTATGATGTAATCAAGTTAAAATATGTTGATTAATGTATTATTACAGTCTCTTTTTATGTAAAATATTATATCATGTTTTGTGTGGTTTTGAATAAAATGAACTTGAACTTCAAATGAAAATATCTTCATATTTGTGTGCCTGAATACCATTATAGTATTAATAATTATCGAGAAGCAGTGAGGTCTAATATGCATTTGTTTTATTGTCTATTATAAGGTAGTGAATTTGTATGATAAAATAGCATTTAAAGGAAATCAAACTATCCAACTTTTGCTCACCCACTCTGCTTTCGCACAAATCTAAAAATGGAATTTCCCTAGACCCCCCCCCCCCCCCTATTGGCGGCGCAAAAAAAGAGGAAGAAAAGAAGAGAAAAAAGAGAGAAGAGAAAAGAAAGGAGCAGAGAAAAGAAAAGAAAATGGAAAACGAAAGTAGAGAAAAGAAAGAGGGAGAAAAGAGAGAGAGAGAGAAAAGAAAGAGGGAGAGAGAGAAAAGGAAAACAGAACGAAAAAGATGAGAGAAGCCGGGTTAGAAAGGGAAAAAGTTACAAGGAAATGGCACGTTCATCCAAAGATCGTTTACCACATAGTATCACCCATAGCAACCATCACATCCATATGTCACTCTGACAAAATAACAAAATATACAATATCTTTGGATATAGCCTGCCGAGCTATTATCATGTAGATACGGCATTTATTTCACGTAAATTATCAACACTTTCATTTGTTAAAGTATGAAAACAACTTCTAACAAATTATGTCTAAAAAATACACACACATCATGTTTTTATACCTCTTAACATTAATCATGTGAAATCATAATTAATCAGTGTTTTATACCCTTACCCTTATTATGCCCGGGTTAAGAAAACAGAGATAAAACTGAATCAGCACTAAACTCTAAAAAGACCCAATGGCCACCGCAACTTATATTTTGATGCAACAACGTCTCCTACCAATTATCATTTTTAAGTTCACTCTTTAAAAAAAACTCCATAGCTAGTGTCCGATCCTTGGAAAGTTACAATAGGGACTTTTATATTCTGCACGACGAGAACGTGAACTGCCCTTTTAAGGCAATGTGACGTCCCTTTAAGGCACTGGCAGTGACGTCACATTGCCTTAAAAGGGCAGTCCGCGTTCTCGTCGTGCAGAATCTAAAAGTCCCTAATGACTTCCACTACACACCGCACCCTTATTTCGCATCCCCTCTTTTCATATTTACATGAAGCACTTTCGACGTGACGGAATTGAATAATTCCGTCACGCATACCGGAGAACAATTAGTGTTCACTACTTATTGTCGTATAAACAATACGATGTAACGCTGGCTAATATATTAGGTGACAGTATATCGACGCATAAGGAAGAAACTGGGGGGTGGGGGTGGGGGGGGGGGTATGCACGCGTGTAAAATGCCAACCGTCTTATAATTATTAGGCTGTGCAAAACTGAGTCTGAATTCAGCTAATTAAAACAAATAATAAGCATGCTTGTTCATGTTAAGCCGTTGTGTAAAGACACCTTTGAAAAGGCCGCGGCAGGCCGAACCCTCCAAAGCGTGGCAGAATGGTAATCAGGACATGTTGGGGGTCATTCCAGAAGGCTTGGGGGCCGTTATTGAAGAGGGGCCGGCCATTAGTCAGGTCAATATACGGTAAAAAACACCCCAACCCCCAAAAATTGCAACAAAAGGTTTTTCAACGGTTTCTTGTAGTATTCGACCTCAGGAATAACATACTAAAAGTGCATCAAAATCGAAGCTTCAGAAAGCTGTTATTTTCAAGATGGCGTCCAAGTTGGCCGCCGATACCTAAAAATGGCCATATATCACTTATTATTCATCCCAGAGACATAATTTTGGGGTCTATCCCATGGTTTCGGGGGTCAGGGGATCCATTGAGACAAGTAAGAATCGTTTGTGACGTTCTAGGAAACCCCAAAATCCAAGATGGCGTCCAAAATGGCCGCCGTAACATAAACATAGCTATTATCCATCCGAAAGACATAATTGGGGTGTCTATGCTATGGTTTTCGGGGTCATATAATCCATGAGGATAAGTTAGAACGTTAAGCAGTGGTTCAGGAAACCACAAAATCCAATATGGCGTCCAAATGGCCACAAAACCACCAAGGTTTCTCAATAGAGAGCGCACTTTATGAACAGGAAATTAACTTATAATGTTTCTCTCTCACCCTTATGGTGTCACCGACCCCCCCCCTACCCCCCCCCCCCCCCCCAGAAAAAGGGTCGATGCAACTATTGACAGGTCATTGTCAACACTGAGGGAGGGAGGGGGGTGACAAAGTAACAATATCTAGACACACATTCATAATACCTACCATACAATTAAACAAGTTTAAACTTCGTGTTGTTCATGTCATCTTAATATAGCGAATACACATGCAGATCTTCACGTTCCTTCATTTTGATGAGAAATGTTCTGAGTAAGGAAAAATCATCTTCTGCTTCACTATCAACTGACTCGTTATATGGATTGTGGCATACATCAAGTTGGCAAGGTGCGCAGCTGTTACATGTAGTCCGTAACTTCTGCATGTATAGCGAGGTGTGCTACAAGCACTACAGGAGTCGCAATGAATCAACTTAAGGAGATTGCTAGATGCAGCCTCCGCATTTGACATCAGTGGAACCTGATGATTGTCCTCAATTTCCAGCCTCAGTCTGTGACGTCCATGTCTTCTCACTATCCATCCATGCCATGACTTGGTAGCCCGGGGGGGGGGGGGGGGGGGGGAGTACTCACAAATTAAGACATACGGGCGTGTGCCGCTGTAATTGGTCACTTTTTCACCCAAAATCCCTAAATATTGGTCCCATTTTAAACAAAAATATCCCTGTGTTTTCAAAATTTCAAAAATTGTCGGTGTTTGCATTGTGAAAAATGGGCTTTACTTCGAGAAAAAGCACCCCTAAAATTAGGCAGGGGTTTCGAGACTTGAGCGGCACACCCCCGGTCAAACCAAATCTAACCCAATCCCCCCTCCCCCCCCCCCCCCCAATCCGGGCTTGGTAGTATGTTCTGAGGGAGTGAATTTGGTGGAGGCTGGCGTAGGAGGGAGTTGCAGCGGCCACCAAACATGACGGACATTGCTTTGATACCATGTTCCTCTATTAGTTCCTTTGACTGACTTTGTAGAAGGAAAGTAATAGCACAGGATTCCAAAGTGAGGTTGCGTTTCTCAAGCTTCTGGAAGACTGCTTTCTTTCCTATTCCGAATATCCGGAAAGTCGAATCGCAATCGGTGTAAGCATCCATTAAAAGTAGTTGTGAGCACAGATCCCGTACCCAGGTCCACTTTTAAATGCTTACAGTTCTACACCTTCGGAGCCTTAGCTACATTGTAAGAGTGGAAGTATAGTTCCCCTGCAATCTGTTCTAAGGAATTTGCGAAGTCCAGTTCCTTTCATCAAGGTACCGATTGCTTCCAGCAAATTCATGAAGGTCTGGAAGTAACCTAATTGCAAGTCAATTCCTTTCAGTGGGCTATTCTGGGGTACATCAATGCTTATAGCTCAGCGGCCTTCCAATATGCTGTTTTCATAGTCTCGTTCAAAAGGAAAGACAAAACTACGACTCTGGGAGAGATTTCGAAAGTAAAAGCTGTACCTGAACAAACCATAAATGCTGCTTTGCTTTGCTGTTTCAACGGTTCCAGGTATTTACAAAAAAAAACAAGGGAAGTTGAAATAGCAGAGGTGATGAGCTTTGAGCTCAGTCCATTCCTACCTGCACTTATCGAGGCTAGGAATGTCTTTCGGGAGGCTGAGAAGCCTCAGCTAGCTCATGTTTTAACTGATCAGTGTCGAGTGAAGCCGTATAAGAACACAGAACAGTATGTCCTTGGTGGTGGTTCCTTAGTGCATCGGATACCATGGAAGACAGGAGACAGCTATGGCAGAATAAAACGATCATATGCTGATTTCACACTCCCCCCCCCCCCCAAAAAAAAAAAACACTATTTGGTTCTGCAAATTTAGTTTTTGACGGGTTATGGTGGAGAGCCGTCAATTAATGATAATACACACCACAGCGATGTGGGCAGAATACCCATCCTGTTGTCAGATTCAATGCAGACACAGTATTCTCAGGCAAGAAGGTTTAAGTTTTTTATCAACAGACTGCAATAAGCAGGGCCTCAAAAGTCTCATTTGTGAGGAACTGAGGAAGAGTTATTGCACCGTCATCAATGTATCCGGGGATGCAGATGTACATATTGCTAAAGCTGCAGTGAATTATTCTCGTCGTCAGTCTACTACTCTGATGTGAGAAGGGCAGAAGGCACTGACATATTGGTGTTACTCTTGCATTACGCTGATGTAGATAGCAGGGAACTATACTTCCGGTCTGACAATGTAGCCAAGGCTCCGAAGGTGTATATTAGGGACTTTTAGATTTGCGTGGACTGATATGTGTGACGTCCATTCAAGGCAGTGCATCAAAGGACGTCGACCGTAGCAATCTACATTGTCTTCGTGCAAATATCAAAGTCCCTAACATTAAGCAGTTGAAAGTGGACCTGGGTAAAGATCTATACTCACAACTAATTTTTTCGACATGCCTACACTGGTTGCGATTCGACTTCCAGGAAATTTAGAATCAGAAAGAGAGCAGTCTTCCAGAAGCTTGTGAAATGCAGCCCCACTTAAGAATCAAGTGCTAGTACTTTTCTTTTCCCAAGTCAGCCAAAGGAACTAATATAGGAACTTGGTATCAAAGCAATGTCTGTCATGTTTGGTTGCTGCTGTAATGACTCACTTGCATCATTACGATACAACTTGTTCGTCAAGAAAATTGCTAATGCGACTCCCTCCTACGCCAGCCTCCACCAATTTCCACTCCCTCAGAACATACTACCAAGTCATAGCATGGATGGGGAGTGAACTAAAAGACATGGACGTCACAGACTGGGGCTAGAAATTAGAGGACAATCACCTGGTTCCAGTGATGTTGAATACGGAGGATGTACCTAGTATTCTTCTTAAGTTGATTCATTGCAACTGCTGTACTGCTTGTAGCACACCTCGCTGTACCTGCAGATGTTACGAACTACCATGTAACAGTGTGTGTGGACTTGCGAACTTGATGTATGCCACAATAGAACGAGTCACTTGATTTATTCTTACTCAAGTACATTCCTCATCAAAATGAAGGTACGTGAAGATCTGCATGTGTATTCGCTATAAGATGACATGAACACACAAGGATTTGAAAAATTTTAGTCGTATGGTGGGAGGGTATTATGAATGTGTGTCTAGATATTATTATTAAGTTGTTACTTTGTCTTTGTCCCCCCCCCCCCTCCTTTAGTGCTGACAATGTCAATAGTTGAATTTAACTTTTATCTGGGGGTTGGGTTGTTGACACAATAAGGGTGAGAGAGTTCATTTCCTGTTGATAAAGTGTGCACTCTATTGAGAACTCTTAGTGGTTTTGTGGCCCTTTGGACGCCATATTGGATGGTTTCCTGAACCACTGCTTAACGTTCTAACTTATCCTAATGCATTCTATGACCCCGAAAACGATAGCATAGACACCCAATCAGGGGCGTACGCAGGATTTTTTCAAGGGGGGGGTTCTAAAATATTTTACTCCCGAAAATTTGAAAATCGCGCCGGCCGAAAAGTCGCTCAGTGGGGGGGGGGGGGGGGGGGGGGGGGGGGGGGGGGGGGGGGGTAGGCGGACACTTTTTTTTTTTTTTGAGAGGCCAAAAAAAATCGCAACGACTCAGCCGGCCGAAAAGTCGCTCAGTGGGGGGGGGGGGGGGGGGGGGGGGGGGGGGGGGTTAGCGGACACTTTTTTCTTTCTTTTTGGTCTAAAAATTTCAAAATTTGACATTTTTCTTCGTTGAGGGGGGGTAAGGTCACCTTATTTAGGTTAGCCGTGGCTATAATTTTTTTTTTTTTTTTTTTTTTTTTTTAATAATAAAAAAAAAAAAAAAAAAAAAAAAAAAAAAACAAAGGGGGGGGGGGTTTAGTATTTTTAGGGGGTTTACATACATAAAAATACCAAAGGGGGGGTTTGAACCCCCAAAACACCCCCCCCCCCTGCGTACGCCCCTGCACCCAATTATGTCTTTCGGATGGATAATAAGTGACTTATGGCCATTTTGGACGCCATATTGGATTTCGTGGTTTCCTCAACCACTGCTTAACGTTCTTACTTATCCTTATGCATTCTATGACCCGAAAACTCTAATTACGGTACATGTCAGTGAAGAGAAAAATACATCTACAATAAATGTAAGTGCTGAGTGCAAAACACATAAAGTTGCTGCGAGGAATATGAAGAAATTAAAATTTGGGCTAAAGAGTGGCAACTATCGCTTGTAGATATATAATTACATGTAGGTAGTCCGCTGTTCGAACTTGAAATACGATGCGGTCAAAAGGCAGAGAGAGAAAGAGAGAGGGGAGGGGGAGGGAGAGACAGACAGACATACACACACAGAGAAAGAGAGACAGACACACAGACATAATGAGTATGCATGGGAACAAAAACAAACATAATGGAAGAAAGCGAAAATATAGGAAAGAAATGTGATAGATAGTTAGTGCAGAAGCAAATATAATTATTTTTTCAACTGTATATAGTCATATTATGTGAATATGTGAATTTTGTCTACGGCTGATTGTCAACGAAATGGAGTTAAGTCGTTTGTCAACTCTGTTTGTTGCTACGGTAGGCACCCAGTGAAAACGAATTCGTTTGATAAAATTATGGATATGCAAGCACTACTTTAAATAAACAGAACTTTGTCATTCCTTGCTAATTTTGTCCTGATTGAGGTGTTATATGAAAGGGCAGACACTCAACCTTTTAAAAATGTGATTTTCTCCTTGAAATTCAGATACCGTCCGCCAAATTACGTTTTGGTTTCCTCTCTTCAAATTTATTTTAATCACTCATGCGTGAAATATGTATTATATGAGTTATATCAAAATATAGAGGCGGATCTAAGCTTTCCAAATATGTGTCATTTATCAATAATTATAAATGTGATTAAGTTATGATAAAACATCAATAATTTTCGGTTTCGTTTTTTCTGGGACGCACTGTATATATAAATATAAATATTTTCATCAAATTCTAAGTAACTTTGAAAAGTTTTGGTGACAAATACAAAACACAAAATACTAAGAAATCAAAGGAAGAATTAAATTGTTATCTACCAGATCGCGTCTATCGGGCAGGGGGACAGTTTTCGAGCCCGTGTAGCCACATGGGTAGAGCCAGTACTGTCCGTAGCTGTGAACATCCAAGAAGAGATGAACACCATTGGTTTGTTGTTTTCAAGAAGAAAGCTGGTTACACCCCGGTGCTCGGGCTCCGAGAGTGGTCTAGGACCCCGGTAGGTCTCACTGCAGCTCACTGGGCTAGCTTCATCACCTGAGGGATAGACAACAAGATTTCAAACTCACTTCATTCAATTCAGTTCAGTTTTAACTCAGTTGAACTGAATTCCCAAAATTAACCATTTGAATTCCTTAATACAATTCAGTTTGATTCAGTTTGACTCATCTAGGCCTATATCCAATTCAATCAAATAAATTAAACATGATTAAATGCATACTAATGACATTTTATTTGACTTAATGGCAGCCGAGGTAGAAACGCCACTTTTGCAAGTATGATTTGAAATTCATAAACAAATAAATGATTGGTGGGGTACTTTTTTTCTCGAGACAAGCCCCAAAACCTTCGGTAGCTGTATTAAATTTCACCCCTGCGTCAAGGGGTTGCGTCGGTGGCCTGGGGCTGCGCCTCGGCCTGTCATATGTTTTCATATGCCAGAATATCCTTCATGGGCATCATGCAATAAAAGGCTCATTGCACACGAGGCTTGATCGCTGACGTAGGAATGCGTCAAAGACGGGTGCCGTCACCGATGCGCTTTTGATCAGAGTGATATCGTTCAGAAATTGAATGCTAAATAAATAGTGCAAACTTTGCTATGAAATAAGTGCATGTGTACGCAGTAGTTACACTCAGAGGCTCGATTAGCACAGGTAATAGTGCAATCGAAAAACGCCTCGTTCGCAACATTTCCCATGAAACATCTCTTGAACTTACCTCCCCATTCATAGGCATAATTTCTGTTGAGGTCGATTCCTGTGCAAACGTTTCCGTCAGCCGTGCGTCTGTTTTTACGCCACATACGGTCCTGCAGTTTTGAACAGTGAAAGTAAAAAGAAAAAGAAAAACGTTTAAGAAGAAATAGAGAGAGGATGGGAGAGAAAAAGGTGATATAAAGTATGAGGAGAGTTGAATAAAAGAAGAAGAAAGAGGCGGAGAGGAGGAGAGAAATTGAAAATTCGAAAGAGTGATCGAGAGAGTTAGAGAAAGAGAGGGAGAGAGAGAGAGAGAAATAATGAGAGATAGAAAGAGAGAGAAAGAGTATGAACAAAGAAAATTAGAAACAAGAGAGAGAGAGAGAGAGAGAGAGAGAGGGAGGGAGTGGAAGAAAGAGAGAGAAATAGAGAGAGAGAGAAAAAAGAGAAAAAGAGAGACGAATATTTCTGCTTATAAGGTGCCGTATCTGATTTTAAGGGCAAAGACCCTGTAGCGATATGAATGAAATTACATACACGTATGTCCGCCAAATGTTATGGATGTAGGCAAAGAGCTAATTTGGATCTCGAGTTCAATGCAAATACTTCACATAAATGCATTAATGGTCATATTCTGCATTATATGTCTGCAAAAGTTTATTAGTGCTTCAATTGAACTTGTCATTAGGTAAAACGAACGGGACGATAATATCATTATGAGGGCGAAATTTAATTGCTGGGATATTCAGGGACTAGAAATGACTTTAAACAGAAATAAGTCACATGTTAAGAACGGTGAAAAATATTAAAATCATAGGCCTATGAGACATCAGCGAGACTAAATAATCAGTAAAATCAGAATAAGATGCACAAACTGATAATATAGACTTACAATACGAGGGTTATAATTGAATCAAGTTAGAATACGAGGAATAGACATCGAAAATAGGAGAAATAGACTATAAAGTCAACAGGTAAAAAAATAAACTGAAAACCCTTAAAAAAATATAGGTTTTATATAAGCAGGACAAATAAAGAAATAAAAGAGAAGAAGAAGAAGAAGAAGAAGAAAAAAAAAAGAAGAAGAAGAAAGGTGAAATAAGAGAGAAGAACAAGAAGATTGTCGGAATAGAAATTTCATGATAAGGATTACGATTATGGATTTAAAAAAAAATGAATAAGATTATTAGACTTACGTTTGTCCATGTGTATGAGTATCCGTCGGGGTTTAATACAGGTACAATATACCAGTCAAAGGTATCCAACATTGCTTTTACTTTATCATTTGTGTTGTACCCATCGATAAGCTGTGAGAGATCAATGAGCAAGGAAAGTCAAACTAAAAAGACAAAAAGAAAAAGAAAATGATTGGTGTTATTTCAATAGTTTACAGCTTATCAGCTCTTGTATTAAATACACTGTAATAAGACATCGAAAAATGTTGTAAAAAATCATTATTATGTTTTTTACTATGTAACGTAATTATTATGTCAACGGCAAGTAAGTTGAATTAAATTCATTTTTCTAGGTCCTCTTTTAAATCCAATTGTTTAAGATTTAAAATAAACGTTATATTATATGACTTAATGCAAGAGACCAAGAGAAGTCGCCTTTTTATTTTTCACATCATTGACATTTTATGCTCATATGACCATTGGCGTCATGTTGAAGACCTTGTGGGGTGGGGGGGGGGGGGGGGCAAATAGAAAAAAAAACATTTTGAATCTCGGTCATCAATAATTCATATTATTATTATTGTTATTATTATTATTATTATTATTATTATTATTAGGCATTTAGCTACGCTATTCATAGTACACTATATTACAGCGCGTACAATAATATGCAATATAACAATATAACCACACATCTTAACATAACATTGATAAAACAAAAAATAATAGCGAATCAAGTAGGAAATAAGAAGGTTTTAAGGAGTTTCTTAAAAACATCCACTGATGGAGCAGCTTTTATACTGGAGGGAAGTTTATTCCACTCCTTAGCTGCTGCAACAGTGAATGTGCGATCTCCTGCCTTACTACGAGCCACGTGGAAAGTCAATCGAAATGGGTCTGCATTGGAGCGAAGGTTTGTACGCACAGGTCGATACAACTCAGGACAGTCACTAAAATACATGGCTGCGGATCACATGATGACATGCATCTTCAGATACATACTTCCTAATCTGTGATATACTCTTCAACTGAAATCGTACAGATTTACAAAGCTGGTCTATTTGGTTAGACATGGACATGTTGTAATCAACAATTACATCAAGGTTCTTGACCGATGTAGATGATGCAATCTGGGTGTTTCCAAATGTAAGATTAACATCATTAACGTTTCCCAAGTTGTGTTTGGAGCCGATTACCAAAAACTCTGTCTTTTCCTCATTTAGTTTAAGCTTACTCCTTCCCATCCACATACTTATATCTGTGACACAATCTGAAAGAGTTTTCAATGCAGTATCTAAGCCATTAGGTTGCTTAGGGTCAAATGTAACATACAACTGTGTATCATCAGCATAAGTGTGATATGAAACCTTATAATGTCTAGCGATGTCTGGGACAGACAAAGTATATATTGTTTATCCTATGGGTCCAAATACGGATCCTTGAGGGAGACCTACTTTGTTAGAAGCAACTAGTGACTGTTTCCCTCTAATTTCAACACACGTGGACCAGTCTTCACAATATGACCTAAACCATCTCAGAGCTGCACCCTCAATTCCTAGCCTTGTTGATAACCGACATATTAAAATATGACGGTCAATAGTATCGAAGGCTGCTGACAGATATAATGACAACAATAAAACCACTCGACCTTTATCCATAGCAGACAGAATATCATTTTTTACTTTGATAAGTGCGCTTTCAGTACTATGATGGGATCTATATGCAGATTGGTTAGGATCCCACAATCTATTTTAATATATATATATATATATATATTTTTGGTTGGTTGGTTTGATTTACCTGATTGCTAAGAATGCATGTGTATGGTTGTTTGTAAGCAACCAGGGGACCGACGGCTCGAAGTCCTCTCCGAGGGACCTGGTAACGAGGATTAATGCCTTACCAGAGGGCACTAGCCCATGGACTTAGTTTCGAACCCGGGACCTGTCCCAGTTACGAGACCACTGCTCTACCACTGAGCCATCGCGCCTCACATTAAATGTTAAAATAGGATAATATAGTTTCGTATTGTAGGTTTTAATCTGTAAATTACCTGTTTGACGAGTCCCATCATGGTAGCTTGGCTGACCCACTCCCGGGCATGGATACCACCTTGGATGTAGGCTATAGGCTTGTTGCCCTGGTTACCGGGTGCACCAAGCTTGATGGAGAGATTAAGAAAAACAATTCGTCAAATTAAAAAACAGCATTTGGGAAGAAAATATTTATTGAGAACTTCACTAACAAAAAATAGGGGGGGGGTTGAAAATGTCTGTATAGTTGGAAAATAATGGCTATTAGTTGTCAGATCGACTTAAGAGCTATATAGATCAGAGCCATAGTAAGTAATAGTCAGATTTTCAGACCATAGTACCAAATGGTAGTACGTTTTATGCTGCGCAAAGATTCTATCAGTTTAATTTTTGCCATTACAAGAAGTAGGTTATTGACAAATGCTCATGTACCATTCACAGCTCATTTTATGTATGCTATTACAAAAAAAGAAAAAAAGACAGTCAGTCAATCAATAGCGTCTGACAGTGAAGCCTAGCAAGTAAACGGGTTTCCTTGCATACTTTAAATATTAGGACACTGCCAACGTTTATATTTCACAGATAGGACAAACATGACATATTCATAATTGCTGCAAAGTTCTACATAATTTGATGTTGGATGCAAAAAGGACATAGTATATTTAACAGTAACCAATCAAAGTTACCATAGTCTGCAAGAGGAAGGGAGAGAGGAGAGAGAGAAGGAGAGAGAGGGGGTAAGAGGAGAGAGGGGGTAAGATGAGAAAGGGAGCGAGGGAGAGAGAGAGAGAGAGAGTGTGTGAGAGAGAGAGAGATAAAGGGGAGATGAGTGGAGGGAGAGGGGGAGAGAAAGAGAGAGAGAGAGAGAGAGAGACATAGAGGATGAGAGGATGAGAGGAGAAGGAAGAGATAGGGAGAAAGAGTGGATATAAGAGGAAAGGAGAGAAGATGAGAGGAGAGAGAGAGAGAGAGAGAGAGAAATAAATACATATTTTGTCTTCAATAAGCGAGTTCGTAAATAGCCACTTGAGTCGAATGACGTCAACGTGTCATAGGTCACATGAACATAAACTCGCCCGTTCACTCGTACGCTCTGCGTAATGTACATAGGGCTACGTGAACATGTGTGCGTGCGTTCGTCCTTCACTGTTTGCCGCGGCGACCGTGCGGTCTGAAATAGCTACGGTCAATAGCAATTATAGGACCGCCACATCATTCCCACGGTCACATACGGTAGTGGTCACATATTATGTGAGGGTAGCCGCACGGCGTATTTTTAATTGTTGAGACAGAAAAATATGCGACTGCCGTACGGCCTTTGAAGTGATGACGCACGGTCGCCTTAGGCGGCGGCCGTAGCTCGTTGAAAAATACTAAGACAGACGCAAGGTAGCCGCAAGACGGCCGAAGGGGGACAATACGGCGATTGTGCGGCCAAACTGATGCTACCGCTTTACCCCTGGAGTATATAAAACGCAAGGCTACCGTACACCCGACGTATGTTCGCCATAGAACCGCTCTACGGCATGGCTATGGCGTGTCTACTTGCTAGGGCAAACCTAGAAATAAAAACAGTCATGATGTTATCATCTTTAAAGGTAATATGTCCCATTTGCAGGCCAAAAATGAAAAGGTTAAATTCCAACGGCATTTGAAAGACAATACTAATTAAGAACTTCCCTACAAAAAAGGGGGTTTGAAAATGTCTTTAAGTGGGAAATTAACAACTATTAGTTGTCGAATCGATAGTAATAGTTTGATTTTTCAGACCATTGTACCGAATGGTCGTACGTTTTATGCTGCGAAAAGATTCAATTAGTTTAATTTTGGCCATTACAAGAAGTGGGTTATTGATGCAGACAAATGCTCATGTATCCTTTACAGCTCATTTTGTGTATGTTATTACCAAAGATGAAAAATGCAAGTCAGTCACTCAATAGTGTCTGACAGTGAAGTCTAGTCCAGAATCTGGCCTATTTATTTTTTATCTCCACCACACCAACGCTACCTCTCCCTACTTACTTGCTACCAGCCGATGATGGCGTGATCATTAAATTAGGAAGCCCGGCGAAAAACTGGTGAGCATATTATGAGTTTGTTGATAACGCCATCTTCGACGGCTTGAATTGAGTGTGTAGGGAAATTATAAAGGACCGTGCAGATTCTGGACTAAGTAAAGTCTAGCAAGTAAACGGGTTTCCTTGCATAATTTGAATATTAGGACACTGCTAACGTATAAATTTCACATGTAGGACATACATAACATATTCATAATTCCTGCAAAGTTCTACAGATTTTGTTGTTGGCTGCAAAAGGGACATAGCATCTTTAATAAGTTTTTGCTTCATATCTGTCTGTAAATATTACTACTTTAACTCATTAATTGTGTACATGACTGTCGGGGACCCCACTGAAAATAGCTCTCGAGCTTTCGTGGGCTATCCTGTTCAAGCTGACTTAATTTTGATCTGTTATTCTTGTATATTGTTGTATGTTGGAAGCATAGTGAATAAAAATCAATTAATCAATCAATCAACCAGGAGTATATTCCTCGTGGAGTAAGTCCCATCTTATGGGATATTTGATGATCTTAACACGCAAGGGGGACTCGCACCACGAGGAATATATAAACAGTTTTATAGTGTTTTTAGTCAGATTCTTTTGATGTGAGTGATAAACTATTACAGCAAAATTCGTTTAACACCTCTAGGTATTAACTTCAATATGATCAAATAATATGACTCTAAACACTATAAAACTGTTTATATATTCCTCGTAGTCCGAGTCCCCCTTACGTGATAAAATCATCAAATTTCTCATAGAGGGGGATTCGGATCACGAGGAGTATATTCCTCGTGGTGTAAGTCTAGGCGCGGATCCACGGGGGGGGGGGGGGGGGCGGCCTCCCCACCCCCTGACCACAACAACAAAACAAAGTTTGTTTTTTTTTAATCTCACGAATTGTGAAAAAAAATAGTGCTCTTACCCCTACCCCCCCCCCCCCCCCCCCCCCCCCCCCCCCCCCCCCCCCCCCCCCTCCCCTTTCGCTTATTCACCGGCTGGCTGAGTCGCCGCTAAAAAAATCCCTCTAAAATTGGACCAAAAAAGAAGAAACAAAAAGAGTTCTCTTACAATATTAAGCGAAAATCCTAAATTTTGGCTGCCTTACTTAAAGATAAACTTTAGTACTGGTAATGCGATTGCATTGTGAAAGAAAAGGTATGGAAAGGATCAGAAACAGTTGATCATGTAGCATGTAAGTATTGGTGTGCACTGCAAGGTTCTGGAGTCATCAAAATCATAATAAATTTGACCGAGTCTTCGTAAAGTAACAAGCACTCACATAGAAAGCTATATATGGGACAACACACATGGTGTCGGGGCTAGTACTACCTTGGTTTCCTTGTCTTTCTATGCTCATTACTCAGCCAGTATACATTTTCTTCCAAAATTGCTTGGCACATGTCATTTATTTGTAATCTTGAACATTCGGTGTAAGTTTCGTTTGATTCTGTGAGAATTATTTTTTTTTTTTTACCAGTACTGGAGTTTATCTTAATTGCTCAACAATAATTTCCCCCAGGTATTAGATAGTTTTAAGCATCCTCCGTGAAATACATGATAAATTCGTTTTCGAGGGTTGACAATGAAAATAGAATAAACAGTAGAAACAGATCCTAAATTAAGAAATAAATAGCTTGACCGGTTGGTTTTGAAGCATTATTATAATTCAAAGACCCGGACAGCTTTATCTTTATTATCCATATAATGACGTTTATAATCACTCTGCATTAGATGAAAGATAATACCTATACGAAATGCATTAAGCAACGTTTAGACATAAAGGTCGAATCATCATTTTTTTTCTCATTCTTTTTTTACATTTCGAAGCGTTGCGTGTGATCTTAATCCTGTTTTTCTACACCAATGCCCCCATTAAGCATACTTTGCATCTGGTCACGCTTCGAAAAGTTCGTGGCCTAGAATTGTATTCCTGTTGATGATCAAATAAAGAAAACACCTTTTATAGATCAGGGAGAGTGTGAAAAAAGCACACAGTAGGAGCAGTGCAATTTAAATATCAAGGGGTGTATAAGAGTTTATTTATAAAATGATATGAAAGGGCTATTTGAATTCAAGAGTCCTTTCGTTATTTTCATTTAAGAAATAACCTCTCTTTCTCTCTTAGAGACACTTTCTCTTGTAAGTCAAATAAACCCGAGAGCATCCTGGGGCTCCGCCGCGGAACCCCCGGCAGGGGCTCTGCCAGACCCCTCAAGCTGTGCCATATTGTACGGATCCATTAGAAAGCAAAATAAGCCCAATAAATAATTCGTATAAACGAGAGAGAGAGAGAGAGAGAGAGAGAGCGAGAGAGATAGAGAGAGAGATATATTTATATAGTTCTCCTATGCAAACTTTCCTCTGTGAAATGCAACTGAATTCGTTTTCGAGGGTTGGCAATGCAAATAGATAAACAGTAGAAACAGACCATGAGTAAAGAAATAAACAGCTTGGTCGATTTGTTTTGAAGCATTAAGCTTAAACTGTATTATCCTTAAAAATAACGTCTATAATCACTCTGAGATGGAAGTAAATACCTATACGAAATGCATTAAGCACCGTCTAGACGTAAAGGTCGAATCTCAACTTTATTTTTCTTATTCTTATTTTACATTTCGAAGCGTTGCGTGGGATCTTAATCCTGTTTTTCTACATACACCAATGCCCCCATTTAAGCATACTTTGAATCTGGTCACGCTTCGAAAAGTTCGTGGCCTAGAATTGTGTTTCTGTTAATGATCAAATAAATATTGCACATTTTATAGATCATTGGTAAATTCATTTTCTCCCTTTGCCCTCACCGGAGATCTCCGAGAGTCGAGGGGGGTATTTCTCGATTAGCATGCGGGTACGCTGTGTGCATATCTTATACCTGTGAACACGTTAATGATTTTTATCCACCAAGTCTGGTGTCAGCGAATTGTGGCCTTTTGCACATGGAATCTGACGAGTGTCTCCCATACTCAGACCATCACACCTAACTGCAAAGTATGATTCTTAAACAGTATATTGGAACGTGTAAAGAAAGAAACAAATATTGAAGTCATATTTTCACGCTTGCTGCGCTGATTTCTGCTCTCATATTCAAAAGCAAATTGCAAAAAAAAAATACCAATAAATGTGTTTAATATCTGTAAATGCTCGGAACCTTGTGTTGTGTTCAAATGGTTGAAGTGGACCTTTTATTGTTTACACAAATTGTTGCTGCCTGCTGCCTCGAGATCACTGGAGCGAAGAAATGTAACTATCCCTATTCAGTGAAAGATTAATCTTTTTTATGGAGACAGATTCATCTACCATTGTTGACCAGAAGTGCGTTTCAAACTCAATTATGTGGGCATCATCCCATAATTATGTTGTTCCCAGTATTAAGGTCGTAATCTACTTCTGAATGAAATGGAATGCCTAATATGAGGGCTTTTTTGTATTCTTTAAAAAGAGCACATAATAGGGGCACTGCAATTTAATTTAAAGGGGTGGATTATAAGTTTTATCGCTCACGACGGCGATCTAGATGCTCTGAATTGCCAAACTCGAGAGCATCCTGGGCCTTTGCTCCGGAACCCCCAGCGAGGACTCTGCCAGGCCCCCCAACTCTGCCATGTTGTACGGATCCATTAAGAAGTAAAATAAGAAGTAAAAATGCTCTGTGTCTGTGGTCTGCCTCTTGACCAAATCCAGTAGGGCTAGCGTTTACAGGCGATTGCAGTGTGCTTCGCTCACCCGTTGCCTTCGACCCCACCCCCTTGAAAAATCCTGGAACCGCCACTGATGAGAGCTGTTAGGGCTAAAAAGGGTTTTTTTGGTGCAGATTCTTGTAAAAGCATCACATTTGGCCCAGAGGTAGATTATAAAATTACCATACTTTTACGATTTCTGCCGGACGCCAAGAAGGGTGCCCTCTGGGTATGCCATATTGGGCAAATCCAAAATGGCCGCCATCTGAGTTAATGGTCAAGCGTAGTTCCAAAAGGAAAAGCGCTTGTATGATAATAGTTTATATATTTATGGGGTTTTGGGGGTCAGAGAATCTGATTATGATGTTCTTTCATCGATTTGAGGTCTCCTTGGGGCTACCATACTGGTTATATTGGTCAAATCCAAAATGGCCGCCATCTGATAGTTACAGGTCAAGTGTAGTTACGAAAGGAAATGGGCTGGTCTGATAAAAGTTTATATATTTATGGGGTTTTCTGGATCAGAGAATCTGATTAAGATGTTCTTTCATCGATTTGAGATCTCCTCGGGTCATACTGGTATTATTGGTCAAATCCAAAATAGCCGCCATCTGAGTTACAGGCCAAGTGTAGTTACGAAAGGAAACGGGCTAAAAAAAAAATTAATTGAAATATATTTATTTAGGATAACAACAATCATATATACATTGTATTGATACAACATCGGTTTTACATCATGGTCCTGAACAGGATAAAAATGTAGTACACGGAAATATAAATAATGAACATCACCAAATAGTATGATAAAAGTTCATATATTTATTGGGTTTTCGGGGTCAGAGAAGCTGATCGTGATGTTCTTTCATCGATTTGAGGTCTCCTTGGGGCTGCCATACTAGTCATATTGGTCAAATCTAAAATGGCTGTCATCTTTGAGTTAAAGGTCAAGCGTAGTTCCAAAAGGAAAAAGACCAGTATGATGAAAGTTGATAAATTCATGTGGTTTTCGGGGTCGGATAATCTGATTGTGATGTTCTTTTATCAATTTTATGTCACCATCCTGTCCTAAGGCTACAATGAAGTCCATTTCCTGGTTGAAGAAGATGAGGGAAGATGCGCCAAATTCACACTTGAGTCGGTATAAATCTTGGCCTGCGCCCATATGTTTCATCAATATGCAAACTTTCCTCTGTGAAATGCATAATGAATTCGTTTTCGAGGGTTGGCAAGGAAAATAGATAAACAGTAGAAACAGACCATGGATAAAGAAATAAACAGCTTGTTCGATTTGTTTTGAAGCATTATATTCAAAGACCCGGACAGCTTTATCATTGTTATCCATATAACTAACGTCTATAATCACTCTCAGATGGAATATAATACCAATACAAAATGCATTAAGCAACGTCTAGACATAAAGGTCGAATCTCAACTTTATTTGTCTCATTCTTCTTCACATTTCGGAGCGTCGCATGGGATCTTAATCTGTTTTTTCGAAAAGTTCGTGGCCTAGCATTTTGCTTCTGTTGATGATCAAATAAATAAAGCCCCCTTTATAGCTAAGGGAGAGTGTGGAAAAAGCACTAGGTAGGAGCAATGTAATTTTAATACCAAGGGATGGATTAGAGTTTATTTCTAAAATGAAATGAAAGGGCTATTTTATTTTCAAGAGACCTTTCACTTCATTTAAGAAATAACCTCTCTTAATATCAAATAAACTCGAGAGCATCCTGGGGCTCTGCCCCGGAAACCCCGGTAGGGGCTCTTTTACGCCCCTAAAGCTGTGCCATATTGTACGGATCAATTAGAAAGCAAAATAAGCCCAATAACTAATTTGTATATATATATATATATATATATATAGTTCTTCTATGCAAACTTTCCTCTGTGAAATGCATAATAAATTCGTTTTCGAGGGTTGGCAATGAAAATAAATAAACAGACCATGCATAAAGGTCGATTTGTTTTGAAGCATTATTTTCAAAAACCCGAAGGAAAATCTTGAAAACAAGTGAAAGCGCTAGCTAGGCTCTGCTTCCTTCAAAGGTGGCGTAACAATATGTCGCAATGCGCAACAGTGATCTGTCTCTGGCAGTCTATCTTTTCAAATTGTAAATTGCAGTTGTGCGTCGGTCAATGGAGGTGCGCACCATATTTGTCTTTATTTAGTTGATTGCCACTGTTTTTCTTACCTTATCTATGTTACTTTTGTATTTTTGCTTTTTCTTCTAATTTAATTCTATGGGTTATAGTCTTCTCTTAATCAGAACACTGTGCGCTTAGAAACATCAGTATTAAGCGCCTAATAAATGTTATGTATTATTATTATTATTATGATATTGATCACAGGGTATTTAATTGATTACTGTCTTTTTGTGTGCATCTATATCCCACCAATTTACTCTTCGTCTTTCCTCTGCCACCTCCCTTTCTCTCTCTCTTCCTAAAATCCCTTCTCCTCTTCTCAATGATCTGTCAAAGCAAATTTGAACTTAAAAAATGCAGGTAATTATTTTAGATCTTATTCATCGAGGTAACGCCTTCAACATTACAAAGTACGTCAAACGTGTTTCTAAAAATCCTAGAAAGATGTTCTAAGTATCATGATTACGGGGCGAACTATTTTTGCACTTCCCACAAACTTTTGGTCTTTATCAACTTTCTCCTTGTCACTGGTACTGGTCCTGGGGCAAATTGTATTATTAGAACGGATATCACGATTATGCTATTAACTAAAACTAAAATAGCAAAATAATGAAAGAAGAAATAATAAGGAAACGTCTTGGCAAATACTATAGCCTTGATTTCTTTCTTTGGCGCAAATATTCACTACGGACTATAAAACTGGTCTTAAAACTAAAGTAACAACAACAACAACAACATTACCAGCATATGGTCACGTGCTTTATATGTCCGTATAATACTCTTTGACATCACTGCACCCTTGTCACTTTTTGAAAGCAAGTCAACCATAAGAGAGGTATAGGTAGGCTACCTGAGATCCAGAGAAATTTTGCTTTTTATCTTCAATTTTGCCGGATCTATCCCAATTTCTAAAGATGGTAAGTTGCTAGATCACGAATTCATTTTGTTTTTCTTCCTGAAATGTGTTGCTATCGTCTACAGTAATTTAAGGCTTAAATAATTTGTAGGTATTTATACACCTGTTTATAAAATTCAATTTAGGTATATTTCTCTCCCAAACCCCTGTTCAATTATATTCACATATGATAATAATAATAATACATATGTATAAAGAGGTGTCGTGGTCGAGTGGATATGTCACCGGACTGTGGATCACAAGGTTCGCGGCTCAAGTCCCGCCGCGGCACTATGTCCTTTTGCAAGACATTAATCTACATTTGCCACTCTCCACCCAGGTGCTAAAGGGTACCATGTAGGATGCGAAAGCTAATGTTGTTAGATTAGCAAGAGTGTGCGCTTGTAAAAATGACGCCTGGCTGGAATGCTCCCCAGGAAGTGGAGAATGGGCATACAATGTGTGTGGGTAAGCCTGAATCCGATGCTCGGGTACATACGAACAAACTATTATTATTATAAAACGCTGTACAAGCATGAATGACAATTTGTGAAATATAATCACCAAAAAAAAAGAAATCAACAAAGAGAATATACAAATCTTATAACTACGAAAATGGCTATCTTAACGTATCATAATATCAAAGTATTAAACTATCGTAATATAAAGGTAGCTAACATGGTCAAAACAAATAGCGGAATAAAGGACAAAATACATTTTAAGCTAATTAACAGAGGCCAAAGAGGTGCTTTTTCAGCACAGATTTGAACGTTGCAGAAGTGGGTGCATGTCGTATGGAATTGGAAAGAATGTTCCAAAGGTTTGGTCAAGCAACTGCAAAAGATCAGCTCCCATGTAATCATGTATTGATTGCTTGATTGCTTGAACGGAGGGCTCGGGGTGGATGCATAATTGCTTCTCTATCTACTCGACTTATTTCAAGTTTTTTTAATAAATCATATACTTTACTACAAGTTTGGGTTTTTCACTAAAAAGTTGAGCGTTCCAAAGCTTTTTGTCCCCTCCATCATCGGGTAAGATTTAGCTTGGATTTTCCTTACTAAATCCATCCGGTATTTTCTGCAGAAAGTCCCTGCAATATCGCCATCGATCGAAGCCTGATAATTTCCCGTTTTCTTTTGTTGTCGTTGAATTTGTTCCTTCTAAAAATCGACAGTCCCTGAGACCGATGTTTATCCAGTTTAGAACAAGGGGAGGGAGTAGGGGTGAAGCGTCAATTTTATATGACTTGCTTGAATGCCTCGCGCAAACGCTCGGTAGCTAAAACCTATTTTAATTTAACTCTCACTATCGCCCCTGCCACTGAACGCGGTTATCCCAGATAACCCTAAGTTTTGTTGTTGTTGCTTTCTATGTAGTTGATAATGCATAGAGAGAGAGAGAGAGAGAGAGAGAGAACCACCATCACTGTGCAATGGTTCAGGTTTGTGTAATGTACTCTTGAAACCATTTCCTAGCATCTCAACACTAAACAAATAGCGCATCTTTATATGACGAAAATTATTACACTAAACTGGATAAAGAATGATAACTTCATTATGATACTGGCTAAAGACAATGTGGTACCGGCAAAGTATTGATGCTATAGTATAATGTCAGGTATTTTTTTATGAATTATTCTAAAATGACATTCTTATATTCACATGGATTATTCTGTATTTATGTGTATATACGCAATAGACCGATATTTGTGATGTCTTTAACGTGACATAGCTTCTTCTCTCCCTGCAAACGAGAAAGAAAACAAAGTTATTAAGAAGTATCATGCGACAAACATGATTGTTATTCAAATCGATGCAAGGATGTTTTTGAATGCCTTTCACCAAAATCTTGTTTTTAAAAACAACTTTTACAAATCTAAGTCGTGCTTACTGAGTTGAAACGTTCCATTCAATTCAAAATACTCTTTGAAGAATAAACTTCTCCTAATCTGAAAGTGATCTTACAACGCAGTTGCAGAATTTATTGCATCATGCCCTTTGATTTAAGGTATAGACCAGTTCTGATCATGCGATTGCATTGTGAAACAAACGGTGTGGAATCGATCAGAAAAGGTTGATCATCTAGTAAGTATTGGTGTGTACTGTATGGTTCTGTAATCATCAAAATGATAATAAATTTGACCCAGTCTTGGTAAAGTTACAAGCTCTGTACACAGAAAGATGTATATGGGACTACGCGATATATATCCAGTCCGGATAAATATAATAATTTACCAAATATATCAATTAGTTTAGGCGGTTTCCCAGCAAAATTTGTATCACCACGTATTAGTCAACAAATCTTCTTTCACATGATTGGTAAAACGAGCTTCAATTTCATTTTTTGAGAGGGGGGCGTTTCCAAAACTGGTCGATAGCTCAGTCGGTAGAGCAGTGGTCTCGTAATGCGGTGACCCCGGGTTCGAAACCAAGACGATGCGCCAGTGCCCTTTTGTAAGGCATTAATCCTCATTACCAGGTCCCTCGGAGAGGACCTAAAGCCGTCGACCGTCTGGTTGCTTAAACAAGCATTTATGCTTTCATAGCAGTCAGGTAAAAAAACCACGACCACAACATATCGTACGCGAACGCCAAGCGAATATACGATATATACATAATTACAAAGGAATCATTGCATTTAAAGCCTTGAATAGTCCCATAGTCCCAAATGCCTTAAGTGGTTTTCTCACTGAGCGGCGACTGCTTACGAACGTTGCAAATTTTGGCAGTAGGCGACTATTGGCGACTGTAAGCAAATTATAAGCGACAGTTTTTGCGAAGATTAGCAACTTTTTTGCTTTTGAGCCACTATTTGTGAAGGTTAGGGACCTTTTACGAACCCTGGCGAAACCCCCAATTCGCTACATTTGGCGCTCAGTGTGAGCGGCGAATGCTTGGAAATTGGGTTTCGCCAGGGTTCGTAAAAGGTATAAGCTTAATGAACGAGACAAAACACAAACAAAGAAATACAATTGGAACGATATGCCCAAAGGAGTAACATGAATAGGGGTCACAGGACATCGCGTCACCGTCCCCATAAATCTAAATGGTCTGCAAAATAAGGAGGATAGAATTATTTTGAGAGGAACGCGTCACCTTCCCCTTTCAACAGGTCCCTAATTATAAGACGGCATTACGAATGTAGAAGGCCGGTACAAAGAAAGTAAAAAAAGCGGAGACGGGGGGGGGGGGGACCTCAGTAGTCAGACCTGATGAGACCACAAAGTCACCCTTTAAAGTCCTGGATCTAAAGGGAACTGCTCTTATTTTTCGCGAATTTAATTAATGGGGTCGAACAACGAAGTTCTTTAGTTGATCACGGAAGCGATGCGGAAAGGCTTCGGCGGGCATACTATAATAGTTAGGCATGGGTTTAGCCTACTCTCTAAGCTTAACGAGTTATTTTGTAATGAATATTTGTTGACTTAAGTCTGGAAGTATTAAGAGTACATCTTTCTCTAGCTTTTAACAATCTACGGGAGGAAGAGAGAGGGAGAGAAAGAGAGAGAGAGAGAGAGAGAGAGAGAGATAAATGCCCCTTTTCTTTTGTGATAAGAGCAAGTTCCCTTTCCCTTAACCCTAATAAGGCCGGGGGCCATTATGCCCCCCCCCCCCCCTCCACGATTTTTCCGATTGCCCGGGAACGCATATGGATGGCGCCCCGCCGCTCGCTGACTTTTTTCTTTCGAGTCTTGCGCATCTTTCAAACAAAAACATTGAAAATCGGACCAACAGTTACAAGGTCACGTGACCTTTTGTCTTTGCATGTCAGCCAGAAAATCGTTCATTTTTGTGATTTGTGTACAAAACATACGGAAATGTCATTTTTCCTCAAACTTGGTTATTGGGTCTTGTTTAAAGTTTAGGTGGTTGTTTTTGGAGTAAAAATAGTTAAATTGTAGTAAGAAATGAAATAAAACAACAAAAACAATGCAATACATAAGTTAAAAAAACAATGAAATACATAAGAAATTATAAAAACAAGAGATAACATAATGAATAAGCTAGCTCTTCCGAATTTTGTTGTCGTATTTTATTCCAATTGGTCTAAAAAAAATGTAGTGAAAAAGAATGCTCAAATATGAATAATATATGATTTTAATGCAAAAATGTGATGTTATGACTTTATTTGCATAATTTACCATAAAAATGCATATAAGTGAATTTTTCAACAAATTAAAATTATCATATTATTCTATACACTTTACTTGACAAGCGTGCAAATTTTCGCGGAGATCGGCTGCTTCATGGCCGAGATCTTAAGAGGGGGGTGGGGGCCATAATGCCCATTCTCACAAGTGCCCCTTTTCAGGTACAAGAAATACCTCTAATCGCTTCTTTTAAAATATGAGAGGAGTCCCTTTCATATTGACAGTTAAAAGTGCCTCTTTTCATCTTTGATAAGTGCCCCTTTTATTTTGACACGTGCCCCTATCCTTTCTAATTAGTGCCAATTTCCTTTTGATAATTGCCCTTTTTACTTTGTACAAAGTGCCCCTTTCCGCCTTTCTTCATTTCTGGTGAGTGCCCCTTAGCAGGTGCTTGTAGTGCCCCATTGTCACCTTTGATAATTACGATTCTTACCTTGACGCGTTCTCCTTTTCTTTTCTAATAATTGTTCTTTTAGCTTTGGCCCCCTTTTCCTTTCACAATAAAATATGCTCCTAATTGTATGCGACTAAGATCAACTTTTTCTTCAAGTACACCCAAAGCTCGCTCACTCACATTTTAACTCGTTCATTTCTCTCCAGAAAGTGCTCCTTTTTGTTGGTGTTTAACAAGTCACTGAAGCAAAATACGAAATTTCACAATCTGGATTCATCATTGCTAACAATGTTCTGTTAATTTCGTTTTTTTTTTCTTTCATTACAGGCAGCTAACTTATTGTTTTCCGAAGATCAAATAAAAGGTACGAAAAACAAAAGCACGAATGTTTCAATATTTAAAGTGGGTGACCAAATCTATAACAAGAGGGTATTATAAAACAATGTCAAACATAATACTAGTATTACAGTAAAATGTTAGCTCTCGGAGATCATCAAAAGAAAATAAGATCATTAAAGATGTGAAAATAACAGCTGGTCTTCTAAGATAAACAAAACTTAACGTTAACGTTAGAGGATATTGGTTGGTTGGCTGGTTGGTTAGTTTGTTTGGTTTACCTGACTGCTAAGAAAGCATGTGTGTGTGCTTGTAAGTAAGCAACCAGTGGACCGACGGCTTCCAATCCTCTCCAAGGGACTTGGTAATGAGGATTAATGCCTTACTAAAAGGCACTAGCGCACATACTTGGTTTCGATCACGTGATCTCCCCGCTGCGAGACCCAACGCTCTACCATTGAGACATCACATCTGCTTGCAATGAGGGAGTTTACAGATACAATCTGCGCATGGGCAGATAAAGGTCATTTATACCAAAAAGGTAAAACCCATAGAGACGAATACTGGATATGTGCTCATGAAAGTTATGTAACATTATTCATTTATGTACCAACGGTACATTCTATGATACGCAGGTGGAAGTATTCTTTTCAAGAGGGCAAACAAAAAGTATTCATGAGGCACATCTAGGACTTTGGCAGTTATTATTCTAATATGCTCAAAATGGAACTTCTCCATGTGTAAAAGATCTGTGGATATTTGGGGTCATTTGTACCATGTGCTATCTGTAAACTAACTCATTTGAAGATTGCAATATTGAAGAAATCAAGCAAAATAACGTTAATGATGAAAAACAAATTCTTATTCAATCTAATAATTTCCAGTCATTTAGAAGTATTTGCTTCAAGAGGAACGACTGTGCTTTTTATTAGCAATTTCCAGTCCTTTGCTAGTTGATATATCATATATATAATATGTATATGTATGAACATTACTCGATGTTGCCTACAAAAATCTCCTGCTTCATTCCTCCCCTCTCTTACTGACACCATATCTCCACTTTATTTTTTCCATTACCTTTTTCTAGAATACAAGACAAAATTCGATGCCTTTGACAGGAATAGCGATGGCAACTTCCCTACTATGTTCTTGGGAAATGCGATGAAATCAGTGGGTCATGTCCTTACTGCGGCTGAGCTTGAAAATTCTAGACGTGATCGTAGTAAGTTTATGGTGAAGACTTATGAAATGACAACGAAAGAGATTATGAAATTGACCACAACACGTAAATAGAAGTTTAATAATCTATGAATTGAAGAATAAATCATTTTATTTAACATGGGTTGCAAAAATCCGTAAAAGAAGTTTAACATGTTAACAATGAATTCTGTGATTTAAAAAGTCAATTGGAGTGTTGGCTGTTCATTCCTTGTTAGAGTTCGTCACACGACAGAAAGCATAGCCAGACATTTGACTGAAAAAGGGATATCTGTGATTTAAAAAAAAAAATCAAAGATGTTTTATAGATACTTTTTCAATTTACAAAACATATTCCTTGGACGAATGCTTTAAATCTTGTGCATAATTGATGTCAAATATATATAAGTCAATAGCTTGCTTGAACATCTGTTTATGAAGTATAATAAATAAGTCATCAGGTCCAAAATAATTACAGTGAACGGTGAAACTAATTTTGTTTTAAAGTGGTAGTACACAGTTCTATTTTCTATGTTGAAAGGAGAGCTTGCCTTTTCGATTTGCAATACATTGTTCTTCTTTATACGAATTAGAAAGCATCATTTTAAGACAATCAATGCTTGGCTTGTATTTCTTGATTATGCACATGTAAATACATCGTTTTTCTATTATTAAAATGTGATTAATTATTATACTGTGTGGGTGTTTTTCTAAATATAATTTAATGACTGTGTTTTTTCATCCAGGAAAAAATTAGAAAAACATAGAAAACAAAACATTTGTTTAATTCCAAAACGTCTGTAATACCTACATTGCCAATTTGCATGTTCTAAAGTTTCTGAATGTTTGCAGCAAAACGAACATATTATGGAGGAGGCTTTGTTTGCATTTTTGAAAAGCCTTTAATAATAAGAATATTAGGCAGAAGTTTAAACTGGAACCCTCGTGTTTTTGTTTCAATACTTGTATTGATCATTATTGTTTTTACTGTACACAATTCATTAACACTCAAATCATTTTCATTTTGTTAACGAAAAGAGCTCATAGATTGCTCTCTCTCTTCATTTCAACAAAGTTTACATGATAGTGCTTACTTTGTATCACCTCAAGATGTCTCCACTCATTAGGCATTTATTTAAGTGAATTATCGGATCTAATCTTCGTGCATTGAAATCGAGACGTAAGAATGCAAGATGAATCACAATTCGAAAAGGGCTTTTGTGTGGGAAATAAGAAACCCTTTTTTTCCTTCATTCGACTAGAGGGAACTACTACATTTCCTCAGTTTTTGGCGATGATACTAGATAAGAAATGCCGCAAAGTTTTCAAAGCCATGGACAAGGATGACAAGGATAAACTTCTCAGGTGAGTTGAACAGTGATAGGGAAGTTGGACAGTGATAGGGTAGTTGAACAGTGATAGGGTAGTTGGACAGTGACATGGTGGCTAGACAGTGATAGTGTAGTTGAACAGTGATGGGTACACTCTAAAAACTGAAATGTTAAATGTCAATTTAAAAGGGCCGAGGAGTGACCACTCTTTCAAAATGTCAGATTGTTTCTATTAACCTGCTAGATTCAACCTTTATAGTGTTGGATCCATTATGTTCAAAGTGTTAATCTACCATTTTGAAAGAGTGGTGATTTAACATTTCAGTTTTTAGAGTGTAGTTGGACATTGAATGCTTACAGTATTTGACTGAGACCCCCGGGATGCTTGCCCAGTCTTTCATGAGGATGTCAATATACTTATCGGGTAAATTTCAAGAAGAAAACAAATCCAATGTATTGTCCGTCAAAATTTCCGATATTGGAGAAATGTAGACAATAATCAATATTTCTTGCTAGGATACCCAAACCCTGAAGATGCCTCTCCCGCTCCCACCCTCCTCCCCTCTCACCCCCTCTCTCTCTCTCTCTCTCTCTCTCTTTCTCTCTCTCTCTCTCTTTCTTTCTCTCTCTCTCTCTAAAACTATATACCAGACAATTATAGCTCCAAGGAACACTACGATCTACCACCTGGGTGAATATACCCTATATATACCTCATTCGGATTGTGCCAACAGAAAAGTTGTTTTAGGGATGACAATTATCCGGGTATCCGTAAATTTGTATTACACGTTAGTTGTCTGGATATTTTTGCGTTTGTAGTCTTTGACCGGGACTTGATTGTCCCTCGGACACAATAATCAATAAACAATAACCAATAATCATCCCCATCCGAGGGAGGGGAATGATTATTGTGCTTGTTATGCTTGTACAAGAGAAGATCAATACTATTACCAACATTTTATTTTCTATATGGTATAGTCAAGATCAGATTTAGCACCTCAATACTGGATCATTATTCATTACATTATAAAAGAGTATTCGATGATTTTAGTCAATGACTACAATGGCATAATCCAAATGTGTAGAAAGTGTATTCAAATAAATGTTATTTGTTAATTATTTGCTTGTAGTGCTGACGAGGTGCGTCAAGCGATGTTAAGCTTTGATCGACAGATAACGGAGGATAAAATCAAGGAAATGATCGAGAAAGCCGATTTTACTAATGACGGTAAATGCAGCTTAGAAGGTGAGTGCATTGAATAGATGATGTCAGTGGCATAGTGTAATCAACCCATTTAAGGGGGAACTGCAATGATATGGGGAGGGGCACCGATCTTACTCATAAAATGAAATATGAATTTGAAAGGCTGCTGCTCAGAGGAAGGATATGGGAGGGGGTCCTGGAGTCTTCTTGTCTCGTTCCTTTCCCCAATTTCAAAACCTCACAGCCATCTGATGGTATACCCCGATTCTTATATGAAACTTCCATAATTGGTCCCAAACATTTATTTTCACAGTATGACCAGTAGTCGACTTTTACCTATAATTATCAAAAAACTTATAGTAGTTCTCATTCGGCGTCATTTTTGTCTCGCCTGCGACACGGAGCGAGACATAGGCGTCACTATATCCGGCGTCGGTGTATAGTTGTCGTCGTTGTTGTAATCGTTCGTGTTGTTGTCGTCAACACTCATGCTGTATTCGCAATAATTTGTTATAGCTACGAGGTAGGATCGCTAAATTCAAACCCCAGGTACATCTCTTGAAGAGGGCAGATCAAGTTCTAAAATGGGTCAAACTGACTGAGGTCAGATTTTAAAAGTTCAATTTTTCATGAAAAGCACTGTACACACAATAATGATTGAATAACACTTCGATGATGAGGTTATGTGTCATGTGTTATCATTCGCATCGTGAGACGCAGGTGAGACAACGTTTGGAATTTCCTTATTTCTTTTCATTCACTGCATATTATTTCTCCTTGTCTACCATTCAGAATTCGTTAAGATGATGATGAATTTTTGTTAGGATGATGATGGATTGTACTCGGTGAAGATGATGACCGCTATCCTCTACTTCAGCAGCGACAACTTGTCCCTTTTATTCTTCTTGAGGACTCTTCGGGAAAGGGTGATACAATCGTCTCGTATCAGATTTCATTATGTTCCGGTAATTTTGTTCGAAATTCCATTCACTTTATTTCTTTACATTTTTGTCATAATACCCAGGGTGCCTTTCAAATGTTAGTGTACTCCTTCCAAGAATAAATGTTGCGTTTTTTCTTCTTCTGAAAGCCAACTATTAGTATTTCATTATATGATACCTTTGACATCATGATTTTATTCATTCGTTTTTTTATAGTCGTCTTGACTGTGGTTAGGAAGTAGATCTAACCATGGAGTTACATGGCCTAACACCAAAGAACATCCATGTCCGAAAAGTGACATGGTACACAAGGGAGAAGAGAAGTTTTAACTTTCTTAATTCTTGATAGGCGGTAAAAGCACTTATCTTAAATTAATTAAATGATATTTTATGTGGAGGTGTCGTAGGTCATTCAATTGACTCATTGAATGCTCCCCATGGAGTGGAGATTGCGTACACAGTGTGTGCGGGAAAGTATTAAATCCAATGACTAGGGTAATAGTATTATCTGTAAAGCGCTTATATAGAGACATTTGTGTTAAGCGCTATATAAAAGCGGAATATTATTATTATTATTGAGTTAAACTTAATGGTTTATTGAGCATACTGGAAACGGCAGCACGAGGGCTGAAATACTTTCATTTTACTTGAAGCACATCGCAATGTTTAAACAGATATTACATAACGCTTCCGAGAATACATTCAAAGATAAAATTAATAGGATAGAATATTATGACCCAAAATACCCCTCTCAGTCTGGACATCTAGGAAGATTTAGGAATAGAGCTATTCATCCGTATTATTTTCAAGTAATTTTAATTTATTTTTTTATGTTCATGTGTATGTATTATGTTTGTTTATACGATGATGAAACCAAACCAAACCAAACCAAACCAAACCGAACCAATCCAAGGCTTGAGAGTCCGGCACCAACGTCCTTTGAAAAAATGCATTAATCCAACATTTGCCACTCTCCACCCAGGTGTAAATGGGTACCTCGCAAATAAAATTGAAGGGGTAATGTTAATTGCAGGGCCCGCGGGAACAGCAGTATTAATACTTATGTTGCTACCCTTAGTAACAAAAAAATAATAATAATCATTATTATTATATGGCGATATCACTTACAGTGAAGTGGAGAAAATGGGTATATGTAAACAATTGCATATTTAGTTTGGTGCAATGTATAACCATGCAATGTTCACTAAATAAAACTCTGCTAAATAATACTCTGGTATTAATACAACCCAGTTTGTATGTTGTATTTGAAAATAATGTTCTAGTAGTTTTTAGAAATGAATACCCTTAATTCATGGAATTTATTTGCTGTAAAGAATGAATCATGTATTTTAAAAAAGAAAATCAAAAACGTTACTCGCTTCGTTTACAAAATGGTGATGACAAAGATAATGATGATGATGATGTTGATGATAATGATAATAATGACGATGATGATGATGATGATTATGACTGTCCACCTCATGGTTCGCGATTCAAGCATTGTGATATATTATTAGAAATGTAATATAAACATTTACATAATTATCTAATATCCATTGTAGATGGAATCAGGATGAACGGTAATCCTACGGCTGAATGGGGATCTCCTTCAGAGTCCCTTCATTGCCCCTGGTGATAACGATGGGCACAACGGCAGATAAAGTTATCCATTATCATGATTATACTTGTTTGCATTAGACATTCAGTAGAGGGATATATAGTTACACATATGTTATGGGACAAATGAGGCAACTTTGCTGACTCTCGTGGAAATGAATACATATTGGTGGGAAATGAATCTACATGGCGGTCTTATTGAAGAACATAATTATCAAATTAATTTACTTTTAATCATAACTCAGTCCAATTCAATTCAGTTTATTTGGCATCATAAAAATCATTTCAAGTCATAAAAACAGAATAAATAATAGGCCAGTACCTCTAAGAAGAAATGTTGTGCTTGTACATGAGGCCCCTAACAAGGTAAACACAATATCAAATTAAAAAGCGAAATAAATAAAAATTACTAGGCGTATAATTATACGTATATTTAGAAGAAGACAAAATCAGGGGGGGGGGGGGGGAAGAGACCAACCATTAACTATCAGCAGGTATCACCAACGTATATGCACACACCCACAATCACACCATACAATAAAGGGAGAATTCAGAATGAGAGAGAGAGAGAAGAAAGAGAAGAGATGAGAATGAGAAAGAGGAGAAGGGGAAGAGATGAGAATGAGAAAGAGGAGAAGGGGAAGAGATGAGAATGAGAAAGAGGAGAAGGGGAAGAGATGAGAATGAGGAGAAGGGGAAGAGATGAGAATGAGAAAGAGAAGGGGAAGAGATGGGAATGAGAAAGAGGAGAAGGGGAAGAGATGAGAATGAGAAAGAGGAGAAGGGGAAGAGATGAGAATGAGAAAGAGGAGAAGGGGAAGAGATGAGAATGAGGAGAAGGGGAAGAGATGAGAATGAGAAAGAGGAGAAGGGGAAGAGATGAGAATGAGAATGAGGAGAAGGGGAAGAGATGGGAATGAGAAAGAGGAGAAGGGGAAGAGATGGGAATGAGAAAGAGGAGAAGGGGAAGAGATGAGAATGAGAAAGAGGAGAAAGGGAAGAGATGAGAATGAGAAAGAGGAGAAGGGGAAGAGATGGGAATGAGAAAGAGGAGAAGGGGAAGAGATGAGAATGAGAAAGAGGAGAAGGGGAAGAGATGGGAATGATGAGAAAGAGGAGAAGGGGAAGAGATGAGAATGAGAAAGAGAAGGGGAAGAGATGGGAATGAGAAAGAGGAGAAGGGGAAGAGATGAGAATGAGAAAGAGGAGAAGGGGAAGAGATGAGAATGAGAAAGAGGAGAAGGGGAAGAGATGAGAATGAGGAGAAGGGGAAGAGATGAGAATGAGAAAGGAGGAGAAGGGGAAGAGATGAGAATGAGAATGAGGAGAAGGGGAAGAGATGGGAATGAGAAAGAGGAGAAGGGGAAGAGATGGGAATGAGAAAGAGGAGAAGGGGAAGAGATGAGAATGAGAAAGAGGAGAAGGGGAAGAGATGAGAATGAGAAAGAGGAGAAGGGGAAGAGATGGGAATGAGAAAGAGGAGAAGGGGAAGAGATGAGAATGAGAATGAGGAGAAGGGGGAGAAATGGGAATGAGAAAGAGGAGAAGGGGAAGAGATGAGAATGAGAAAGAGGAGAAGGGGAAGAGATGAGAATGAGAAAGAGGAGAAGGGGAAGAGATGAGAATGAGAAAGAGGAGAAGGGGAAGAGATGAGAAAGATTGATTGCCACGAATCCGTGATTCTCTGTACGGCCATGCCTTATGGCTCAATGCATGGGCACACAGCCTGACCGGGGGGAAATTCAAATGTTACATGTTTTGTTTAATCCGAATTGCGCATATGCGTGTGTGCAAATGAGGGCGCTGTGCAGAATAAGCACTCTAGCATAATTGAATTTCACCTGCAGATAAAGATAATGACATAGTATACAAAATAATTAACTTTTGCGAATGCATTAGTGAATATTATCTCTTAACTCAAGTCAGGAGAGATAATATTATCTCTCAGAACAAATTTCTCATTAATTGTCATATTTTCTCAAATTTTCCCTGATCTGTTTCTATGATTCATATGCTCTTGAAACATTTTCAATAGTATCTTAGCTAGAAAGAGGTATTGATCTTTTGAAAACAATGAATTGAGATTAAAACATACAGTGTCGCGGAATGCGAATTGCATACATTAAATGTTCTAAGAACGAAATACATTATGGCTTTCCCTCCCTCAAAACACGCAATATATGCAATTGGCATTCTGACTATTACAATACTATTATTCGTGACAGGTGATTGGAATCATTCTTATCGAGGCACTATACAAAGACGTACACATTTAATTTGGTTAAATTACGAAAATTATATTGAAAGAATATTCGCACAATGTTGGCCTCATTTTACCCGCCTTATCAATGAAGAGCTTAATTAATTCCAAAAGGCGCTAAATCCATTTTTTACCAAGTTATTAGTATGAGTACATACCAGTTGCACATGCGCATTTAAATCACCATTCCTTTACTCAAAATAATTTTCAGAAATATGAAACAATTTGACACAAAAAAATGTTTAGTTCCAAAAGGCGCTAAATCCAAAAGTGTTTAATTCCAAAAGGCGTTATATCCACCTTGTGTGTTTTGGTCAATCAGAGCGCAGTATTGACCCGGATTGACAACAGCTTTAGTTTTAGCTTGCTGCTTGCATCGAGATCGATCCTATATCTGCAGTATTTACAGTGTTTTGACAGTCTTTAGCTCACTTAGCAGCATGGATGAGGGAGGGGTTCTAGTTGAGAGATCCAACAATCCAAGAAAAAGGAAGCGAAATGAAAAATAATGGGCCAAAAACCAGAACAAGGAAGATCATAACACTGCTCCTGGTAAGTTTAGTCCCGCTTACTCATTTTTGTGTTAGTGTGTAATTAAGTGCTGATGCATTTGCATTATATTGCATTGAATGAATTGTAATACTAATAGGTAATAGTCTAACTAAGACTATTGCAATTCTGTTTGCATATAGTATGAGCTCAAGGCTTAACCCAAACAAATTACTAGATACAATTTTGTAATTAAACTGAGGCCGTAAGGGTCAATTACGTGTTTACTGCCGCGCCACGGCTTCGGCTTCGCCTTCGCCTTCGCCGGCTTCGGTCACTGGTCACTGGCTTTGGTCACTATCTGCCCTGGACCTGGTGCAGTAGTTTATGGATATTTCACAAGCCTTTGTTTCATCATGCCATAGCATAAGTGTAATGATAATTTGCCATCTATTAAGAAAATATCTGCTGTAAGTCTGTAACAAACATTTTGTATTTGAGTGCAGTCATAATCAGTGTTTTGTTAAATTTGAGGAATTTGTTTGCGTGGAATACCTGATGTTTACCATGATGACTTTCGTTTAATCAATAGGGAAGCGACCAGCCATTGGATGCCAGCACATGCCTCACAGCTTTTGTAAGGCGTTTTTGCTGAGAGAAGGAGACATCACAGATACTTTCCAGGACTGCTACAGAGACTCAAACAACCGCGGCAAGATTCATTCATCATGTTCCACTTACAACTCAATCCAGTCATGCGCCATCAAGGAAATGGTCCACACCCAAGGAGAGAGCGGAACTATACCCCAACATTTCAAGTAAGTTTTAATCGAGTCATTATATCTTGTCGGTATATATATTAACTCGTGTGTTGAAGGGATTTTCTATTTTTGTAATTTCATTCGTAGGGCCTTGTAAGCTTGTTTATTCCCTATTGGTAGTTGATTAGTGCTGTAGATTAGTATTTTAGGGACTCGTAGAGTATTTTCAGTGCTGTATTCCGATTTTTTGGTACTCATTTCGGTGTTTTGGGGATAATTTTTGGTGGTCGCACACATGTCCGAGCCGCCATCTTGAATACATTCGCTCGCGTGTTGAAGGGATTTTTTATTTTTGGAACTTTTTTCGTAGGGCCTTATAAGCTCATATTTTTTCATTTCTTGTCTACTTAGGGTTGTTGGATAGTTTTTTAGGGACTCGTTGGTATTTTTACGGCCGTATTTCGATTTTTGACATCGGTTTCGGTCATTTTTTGTACTTAAATTTGCTCATTTTTTTTCTACTCACTAGACTGGTTGTACAGCCGTTTTTTGTCGTGCTCGTAGTTGTGATCCTCTCGCCAGAGTTTTATACTGTGGAGATAATTCCGCGGTGTTCTTTTTCGGTGAGGTATAGGGTCGTTTAAGTAGAACTTAGTAAGTAGGGGTAGGCTCTAATTAGACTAGTTTCAACCCTCTCGCCGAAGTATTATTACCGTGGAGATAATTCCACGGTGTTTTTCGGTGAGGTATACTATGGGTATAGGGTTGTTTAAGTAGGAATTTTTTAGTAAGAAACTAAGTAAGATTATGAAAGAAACTAAGTAAGATTTTGGAAAGAAACTAAGTAAGTTATTACTTTTTAAGTAGGCAATAGGTCTTTCCTGTAAGAAACTAAGTAAGAAACTAAGTAAGTAAGCAAGTATTTTCCTTTAAGAAACTAAGTAGGGGTCTAGTCTAAGCAAGAAGTATTTTCCTTGAAGGAACTACGTACGTTAGTAAGTAAGCAAGAAGGAAGGATTGGGTAGGTACCTAAGTGGCATTTTTTGACTGTCAGTCTTGTTTTGTATATCTGTGGATTTGGGGTTAAATCATGGGTGGTATTTAATTTCATCTTCATTTCATCATACTAATATTGTACGGCCATCTCGCCGAGCATTATACCGTGGAGATAGTTCCGCGGTGTTTTTCGGTGAGGTATGTTGCCGGTTTAAGTATAGTCCTTTAGTGTTACTTAGTAGGG